CTGATACTTTTATACATGTGAATTTAATTGTCTCTTCTTGTTCTGCCATCAGAGTTGTTCTCAGTCCTGTTTTCTCCATGCTGGTTTTACAGGACATTGAGCACTTAATTGTTAGTGTGTGGTAGCTCATTTTTCATTCAACCACGTGGCCTTGGTGTGATAATGAAGGAAATGACTGGGAGGATGGGGCCTAACACATTAAAAAAAACCTTTAAGATAAAGGTTTGTTTTTTAATGTGACAATTAAAAGTAATTAACCTTTAGACCATGTTTGGATCCAGTGAGATTTAAAAGTTTCTTTAAAGAAAGCACTGTAACTTAAAAATGTGTTTTGTTAATTTATGGTTTAATACATTTAAATTAGCTAAGTAATTTGAAAGAAAATTACTTTGCCATCACTTTGAAACTCGCTTCCATTGGTTTCTAATGGGACTTGAATTCTTTTCCAGATATAATCTGTTTCATGAGGGTGGCTTCACGTTGCAATAATCCTTCTCATTACATTTCTAGGACTTAACTCCTCCATCCTTAATAACACTCTTGGCAACTAGTACAGAGCAGTTTCCTGTTTCAGGACTACTCTGCTTTTTAAAAATAGCACTGAAGCTCTGTGAAGTTTGCCTGAGGGCTCTTCTTGATGACTAAACTGAGGATTATCAAATACCTGCAATGTTGCCAACATGCAGAAGAGATCTCAAAATCTCTGGGTTTGTTTGCATTCCCTGGACCTAAGAAAAATATCTGGGGGTTTGGGGGAAATAGTTCTGTCTTTGTTTTTTTGTTTGGTTAGTTGGGTTTTTTTTAGTAGTAGTTGTTGCACAAAGTCTTTACAAAAAAGCTGAGTGGGGCTGCTGCACAAATTTAAGTCAAGAATTCTGTATGCAGCATTTCCAGACTGATGTTTCAAACCCCTGCAGTACACACTGGGAGAAATCCTGGTGGTTTCTTGCTGCGTTACAATATTGTTTGCAGTGCCTGATGCTGGCTCATAAATGTCTGGTTTGCAGTGTGTTCAGGACTCCTGCTCCTCACACACAGTGAGGATGGTGTCCTTGTAGTTCAGTGCTGTTTCCAAAACTGCATTTAAGTAGATGTAGCTGATTGTGCAGTGTCTGAAAGGACTGAGCCTGCAGGGTGTCTCTTTAGTGTTTGTATGGTTTTATTTTGGCTTGGAAAAGTGCCATGAAAGGGCACGTGATAAACTTGCCTTCTTTTCTAATGGCAAAGGCTCTTTGGAAAACTTCCAGTACAATGACCATTCCTCTTCAACTAAGCAGTGTCAGAAAACAACCTTGTCCCATCAAACATGGAATAACAATGTTATGTTGCCTTTGTTATTTTGATCCATGTTTTTATAAATTGATTCATTTAAAGAATAAAGAAAAATGAAGAGTCTCTGAAGATAGACCCTTAGATTAATTTAGAGATAAACGCTTTTTATGAGTTGTTCTTTCTATTTCTCCATTAGTTTAGGAGTTTGTTTTAACTGTTATTCCAGTTTTTCTCACATTTCCTATGTCAGATTCTGTTTGCCTGTCGTTGCTTAGGTAGGCTAAAATAGTGGGATGAGCAAGCTCTGGGCACACTCAGTGGTTTGTATTCTCATCTAGTTAGAAAAAAAGGCCCCTTTTCTTCTGTTCACCCTTTTTTTTGGATTACAGGTCTCTATTGCTTGTATTGCTGCATTGCATGTGCTTTCAAAAGGGGCTTTAAGCCAGAAACATCTGTGTGATGGAAATGAAGCCTTTCTGAGCAAAGTGTGGGAACAGCATCTTTCAGATGGAAAGATGTTTTCCCCTATTAGTTACTAACAGTTCCACCAGCCTGTGGTGCAGATGCTCACCCATGTATTTACACAAGCTCCATAAAACAGGATGTTCAGAAATACAGAGGAAAATGTGAAGTAATTATGAAAATGCAGAGCCAGCCACTGGCAGTTTTTTCTGCTTCTGAGAGTGAGAGGCAAATGATGTTCTTACTAAAATCCAAGTCAGAAATGGCTAAAATTGGCATTTATATACAGCCAGGAAATATATGTCAGGTTGAAGTGGGTGGTGGAACTCCAAATTGAGCCAATAGTTAAACTCAGTGCTGTGATGAATATAACATACTGAATTAATCGTGTTCTTTGTCCATTGAGGCAAAATGTTACTGAGAACTAATCCAGATTAAAGATTATCTAAAATGCAGTTTTAGACTTTGTAAATCATCCTGTAAGGATCTGGAATAGTCCTCATCCTGGTTCCAAGTGTGTTAGTTATCAAGGTCATTTATAAATGGAATGCTGTTGGCAGCCAGTGATGGTGTAACTCTCCTCTACTGGCAGTGAGGAAATTCCAAACTCTAGATCAGATATATCATAAAACATTTACTACATGGCACAAAGGCCTGGTTGTGTGGTTTTGAGGTTTTTTTTAAATATGGGTATATGCTTGCACATCTAAGCTGAGATGTACTGGTTCAAAACCACCAAACCCCAACATCTGTTGTTCTGAAGGGCGTTTTGAGCTCTAAATCTGTTGCATGAGTGCACGCTGCTCCACCCAGTGGTTTTGTTCTTGTTTCCTTTGGGTTATTGAAGCCCTGTGTTCATCTGGTAACTCGGGCACTGGGTAACAGCAGCGTATTTGAGCTGGTTTCTGTCATTGCCACAATGGTGTTCAGCTCACTGGGGGTGAGAGGACTCACAAAGCACCCAGCAGAGGTGAAGAGCAATGGCTCTTCTGAGGCAGCCCCATTGCTGTCACAGTATCCAGGTGCTTGTCCTGTCTGGGGGTGATCCCTTGCTTGCCAGGCACAGGATTCCTTTCCTCCTGTGTCTCCTAACCATGGGAGTTGGTTTGGGCTGTATGGCATGGCCAGAACAACAGCTTTGGTTTGATGGTCCTGATTTAGGCTGAGGTTGGAACAGAATGCTTCCCAGCAGGCACTCCAAGGCAACATGATTTTCATACCTTATTATCCCCTTTCCCAGATCCAGTCCCTTTTTTCTTGCTGGCATACTTCCCTGTCTCCTATCCGGTCTTTTCCTTCTCTTGCTTTTTATCTTGGTCCTAGTTTTGCTGCATCTATCCCCAGATCTGCCATTTCTGATGCCATTACCTAGATAATCCCAGTCTTTTGTGCTGCTACTTGTGCAGTTACACAAATGCTGCTGGCCTCTACTCTCAGAAAATCCCCAGTACTCTCCTTCAATTATCTGTGGAATTAATCTGTTTTTCATGTAACTTCCACATTCCTTCCCAGTTGTTCTTTCATTTCTGCTGTCTGTACCTCTTCTCACATGTGGCATTTTTCCATGCTGTGCTCAGCAGATTTCCATGTCCCTGCAGCCCTAGTAGTTATTTAAGACAAACTCCTTCTGCCATGCCTTTTCCCAGCTGGAAGAGCTTCTCTGGGCAAAAGCAGGTTTTTCATCATTCAAAATGTCTACAAAAGGCTTTTTCCTTGCCCAGGACCCAGAGAAGTGAAAGAAAACTGTCATGGCAGGACACTGAGCACTGAAACTGAACTGAAAGGTACTCTAGTACTTCATCACTGCAATTTAGTTATTTTTTAAAAAAGCTTAAATATTTTGTAACTCGTGGGCTTCCTGTGGTCTCAGAAGTTGTGCTGTCATTTCTACAGAGATTCTTTTTCCAAGGTAGCATCAATATTCCAAAGGTTTCCCAGGCTAACATAATGATTCTGTTTGGTATCCACAAAAATCAGAAGTGGTCTTTCAGAATAGTAGGTAAGAGAAGGATCAGTTCTATTACTGATCAGATGAACTGGATAGAATAAAGACACATTAATATTTGGAAGTAAAAAAATTAGAAGTAAAAATTATTATGTAAATACTAATAATTTACATAATTATTATGTAAATACTAATACTATATTACTAATAGTAGTAATAGTTAATAGTAATAGTTAGTTTAATAGTTAATAGTAATTAGTAATTTTAGTTTAATCGTAATTTTAATTTAATAGTTAGTAGTAATACTTTTACTCACATAATATCCTTTTTGTAACTTCAAAGGAAGCTAGAGGAATTTTCTTTAAATTATCTCACTTTTACAAGTTTTTTTCCTTAGGCACAGCCCATTGTGGAAATAAAAGGAATGAATACAATAATACATAGAGGATGCACTATTGGTCTGCTAAAACATTTGATTTAACTTAGAAGTAGCAAGTCTATTGTCTCTGACCTGCCCTCGAGACACTGGGGATGAACTTGGATTCCCGTGGCAAGCAGCCACTGTTGGCATCCAGGCACCTGCACCTGCTAAAATCACAAACATCACAGGATTTCTCCAAGATCAAAACTGCCAGCAGCTCAGACTCTGGCTGCCCTGGGAGCCCCAGATGTCACCTCTGATCTGACCTCAAGACACTGGGGACTGAGTATGGTTTCCTTTGGAAAAGGGCCACTGTTCACATCCAGGCCTGCAGCACATCAATCCCGGATCCCAGTTCCTGGGGCTTTGGTGAGGGACAGGAGGCAGTGCAGGAGCTGTCACTCCCAGCTTGGGGCACCTGCACTCACCCCAGTCCGTGCCACAGGCAGGATAGCATTGCTCCAAGCCAAGACTTCATTGGAGAGTCATCATGTCCTTGGGAATTGCTTGAAGGTAGGATTGAACTTGTTTCTCTCCTTCCCATCCATTTCCCAAACAAGCCAAAGTGTTGGGCCTGGGCCATGCAGCTGGGAAAATGAGCTACTAAATAGTCTGTTCTGTCTGATACGTTACAGGCTGGTTTAAATTTTAACTGAAATCTCAGGTAACTCTTCCCTGAAAGTGGATTAAAAGGAGATTTCTATACACAGATACATTTTTGTAGCACTTTGTTAGGAAGCCTGGTGAGCCATTGGATTTGAGCTGCCTTAGACTTGGAAACAAGTCCCTATTTTAGAAGCTTTCAGCAAATTATGGAAGTTCTCCTGAGATCCAGCCTGTCAGTAGCAGCTTCCCATCCACCTGGACAGGGACCCCACTGAGGACCCTCTGGAGTGGGCACAGCTTTTTTCTGGGGGAGATGCTCCAGCAGCACTTGGCAGCAAATGTTGGGGATGAATCCATAGGAACAGATAAATCCACAGTCACTGCCAGGCCCTTTCCAGCACTGAATTCCCAGCTGAGGGGAGAGGAGCCTCTGAAATTGGCCCTTCCAGCACAGCAGCTGCTTGGTGCCAGTGCCTGGAACCTGGGATTGATCCTGATTGTCCAGCTCTGGAGTCCCTGAGTGCTGGACTATGGAAAACAGCCAAGACAGTGGATGAGCCCTGTGTCACCCGGTGGTTTTGGGCAGGGCACAGCCACTGGCAGTGGGTGTGTCTGGGGAGAGGAGCCACTGCTTCCCTTCCCAGCAAGGTCTGGGAAAGGCAGCCCAGAGGATGAGGCTTGGGAAGGAGTTGTGAGCTGGGAAGTGGCTCAAATCAAGTTTAAGTAGCCTTAAACTCCTGGAATGGTCTGGGTTGGAAGGAACCTTAAAGATCTTCCTGTTTAACACCCTGCCATGGTCAGGGACACCCTCCTGGGGTGTGCCTGGAATCTGCTCTGTGCCGGGCTGGTGGAATGGGTGGGGTTTTCTCCCTGAGCCCAGTCCTGGGCAAGTTTGGGGCTTCCATGGGAAGAAGCCTGGGAGCTGCATTTCCACACCTGGGAGGCTCCATGCCTGGAAATGTTTCCAGTTCTGCTATTTGTTTTTTTCCAAAACCGGGCATTACATTTCTCTGAGTGAGGTGGTTTTCCCTGGGTTGTTGGGATTGCACACTGGGTGTTTAAGGGCTCTGATGTATCTTTCTCCTGAATGGAGGAGTAAGGAAATGGGGATGCTCCCAACTGTCACAGAGATGTGGGAACAGCCCAGTTGCAGTGAGGAATGTGGTGCCCAGCTCATGGTGTGCACCCTGAGATGGTCTTTCTTGTTGTTTATTTCTTGGAGCCTGTTGGAGTGCTGGCTGGATTTGGGAGCCAAGTATCCTGGAGCTGTGAGGCTTTTCCTGTCAGAAATCCATGGTGGGGATGTTTTCCCTGGCTGTCCCAAGTGGAAGGAACAACTTTGGAGTCGTTGCAGCCACAGGCTGGGGATGCATCCTCTGAAAACCAGTTCAGGATTGTTCATCTGACTCTGCCTCTGACCTGTGACTTCCAGGGACCCTCCTGATATCCTGGGTATTCCCAGGAGAGGATATTCCACCACCTGCCTTTTGAGCCAGGAATTCCAGACCCAGTAAGTTGTGACATTCCATGTGAGCTGTCCCAGTGGCTGGGTGGGAGGGGGAGCAAACACCCCACACTGCTGCTCGAGACATTCCCAACTGGAATTGGGCTGAGCAGTCATTGCAGAGCTCTGAGGCCACAAGTTCAGCCTTGAATGGCATCCCCAGGGAATGCTGAGGTGTCCCATGCCTGTGGCACTCGGCCACACATCCCTGGTGTGGAGCAAAAAGAGGAGGGGGGAAGTGCTGGGTTAGTGGGAGGATGTTTATGGAATGGAATTCTCAGAGGTTCTGGTCATACCACGGAATCATGGGCTGCTTTGGCTTGGAAGGGATACAAAGACCCTCTGGATTCTGTTATCCAATTCCATGGCAAAGAGCACATCCCAAAGTGCCTCCTCACCCTCATGGACAGCAGGAATGTCTTCCATAGCTCCTGTTGAGGAATGACAGTGGCTGTGTGGAGCTCTGGCAGGAGCACCTGGAGACCAGGTAAGAGCAGCAATGGGATTGTTTTGGCTGCTGCTGGATTGTATTTGAGAGTAATTCCAAGAATTTGGAAGTAGTTGAAAAACAGAGGGGAAAAACTATGAAGCTGATCCACTTATAGTAATTCCAAACTTCTCCCACAACACCATTCTAGAGACCTGGTGAAACGATGAAGATACAGAGGAACAAATGTTGTAAATCCCTCTTGCAAATCCTACAGTAATCCCAGTAGATGTCTCTGAGAAACTGTGGGATCCTAAGGATTTCCAGGAAAGAAGAAGAAAGACAGATGAGGAAATAGGCTTTCACTTAATAATGATTTGATGGACATGGGAATGATTCTTGTATGTTTGATGCTTCCCTTTTTATTCCTGGAATAATTTTTAAGTGATTCCTTTGATAAATCATCTAAATTTGGGAAATTAAATTTGAGAGGAAACAATACAAAATAGATGCATGGAGAAATCATGGAATCATCCTGGAATCCCCAATGGTTTGAGTGGGAAGGGACCTTAAGGATCACTTCATTCCATCCCCAGCCCAGGGTGCTCCAAGCCCCATCCAGCCTGGCCTTGGACACTTCCAGGCATGGAGCAGCCACGGTTTCTCTGGTTTGTGGGCACAGGAGGGAAGTTCCAGCAGGAGCTGAGGAGTTCCCTTTGCCCTGTGCAGCCCCAGCAGGGCTGTGGGAGCAGAGGCTGTGGGAGCAGGAGCTTTGCCCACGGCCTCGGGCAGTCTGTGCTGCCCCAGCCCCCAGAGCAAACGTTTGTGGTTTAACATCCCGTGCCAAGGAGATGCCAGCCAGGAACGGGAATGGGCCGCGGAGCAGGGACGGGGCCAGGCACAGGGGTGACATCCAGAGGGTGCCACCAGCCCGTGCCTGCTGCCCAGGCTGGCATGAGCAGGCTGGTGACTGTCCCTGTGCTTGCTCTGCAGGATGAGGGAGCCAGCCCTGCCGAGGAGGAAGAGGAGGAGGTGTGGGAGGATGGAGACAGCGGCCACCAAAGGCTGGGGAAGGCACAGGTCCAGGTGGGAGATGCTGCCTTCCAAGGAGAGGGACTTGTCTGTCCCATTGGAATTTGGGGTGTGAGGCCAATGGAACAGAGGGTTTGATTCTATTTTCTTACTCAGGCCAGGCTGTGTTTGAAACAGCCCACAGCAGCATAGAGCTGGAGTCATTTCCTAGCAGGGAACTTGACTTGGAAGCTGCATTCCAAACTCTTGTCCACATTTATTTTATCTCCCACATGGAGCTGCCTAAAAAAGCAGAGGTGGGGTGTTCCTAACAAAAGAACATCCAAATTCATCGCTGGTAGAGGGCTTAAAATTAAAGTGTGAGTGGAGGTGCCTTTAGGACACTGCAAATTCCTTAGTGTATTAATAGAATTTAAATGAAATATCCAAATCCTGACAAGCTTGTATGAACTCCAGAGTCCCTGCAAGTGTTTTACAGCCAGGGAGGGAGACAGGAGTATGGAGTGTCTCCCCAAAAACTGGCTGCTGCTTTGTTTGACCAGGCCTAGGAATGATTGTGTATTCCCTGGGGCTGTGCTGATGGAGAAGGGTTTGTTTGTGTGCCCTGGGTTTATTCCGTGTATCTCCAGAATGATGGAAACTGATTTCATTGAAGTGCCAGAGGTGCCCAGTGCTTTCCCCAGCCAGAGCTCGGGGCCAGCCCTGTGGGAAGGGGTTTAATTCCCATTTTCCCAATCCCTCGAGGCAGCAGCACTGGAGCACCCGAGCCAAGCAGGCCCAAGGTGCCCAGTGCTGGCAGGAGGCAAATCCAGGGATTGGGCAGTGGGAGTTTGCTCCTGGAATCCCAGCCCTGGAGCTGTGCTCCAGAGAGCCCAGGAGCTGCTGCCTCGCTCAAACCTCGTTTGAAGCTCAGCTTCCTCCCTGCTCCCTTGGAATTATTGTTGCTTCCATTGCTGCTCTCTCCCAGTAATATTACTATTGTAAATTCCCACTCCAAGTCTTCCACAGCCCTTTGCTCCCACAGGTGGTGCTTTAGGAAAGCCCCTCCAGCCTGGGAAGGTGCTTTTGGCTCCGGACACATTCCCAGAGCCCAGGAGCAGCAGGACCTGTGCTGTGCCCAGCAGGTGAGGCAGAGCTGCCTTTCCTTCCTTCCCTGCTGCACTTTGGCTTTTTGAGGGGTCTCAGGGAAAAGTTCTTTGTCACTCCAGGGCAGAACTAGCCCTGCTCCCACTAAAAGCAGGAGGAATCATTTTATCCCTGTTTTTGGATACAGCTTTTGTGTTTTCTCTCTGTTGCTGACACCGTGTGGTGAAGCAGCAGCTCCCAACCTTGTCAGTGCTGCTCCCTGCAATAGTTTTTATTGTTACACCATGAATTCCCTGCTGGAATCCAGGCACTGCCCCCAGATCCATGTGCAGTTTAAGCTCTTACACCCTGACCAGGACAATTTCCTGTTTCCAGGCATGGAAAATGGGGGAAAACTCAGACTGGAGTGGAGCCAGGACCCAGAGTGGGGGAGTGAGGCAGCGTGCTCTGCCAGGCTGGGGTTGGCACAGGGGCTGTTCCCTGTTGGATGACACCCGTGTGGAACAGATCCTTCTCTTCCTTTGTCCAAAGTCCAATGGCAAAGGATTCAGGAACTCACAAGTGGGGCCTGGAATGAAAATGCTTCTGTTAAAATTAGCCAAAGAATGTGGTAAGAAATAATGGGCATCCTTTTTATACATGAAAATAGTAAGGAATAAAGTGTTGACAAGGGGCACTTTTATTTGGTGTCACCTCTCAATTTTTTATGAATAGAACCCCTATAGAACAGTGAGCAATGAGAACAGAAGTAGGAAAGCCAGGAGCCTTTGACTTCCAGAGTGGACCTAATCTCCATTTTCTCCTCTCTTTCAGGACAGGAAAAACCACTTAACTCATCCCACCTTTGCCTAGCTTTGGTGTTTGAGCAGCCAAACCCAACGGGCTCCAGCCTGCACTGGAGGGCCCCTGGTCCTGCCCAGGGTGTGAGGTGAGTCCCCAGCTGTGCCCAGAGTGTCACAAACCCAGAGGGATCTGCCCTGGGCTCAGGCTGGCCTTGCCCTGGTCCCTGCAGCCCCCAGCACCTGAGACAGAGAGAGCCCTGTCCCAAGGGCCTTGGGCTCCTTGTCAGGAATGTGGG